TAGTGGACCTGATTCAACTTCCAAGATTTCATTATCAGGTCCGATCCCCCAAACTCCAAGTCCCTTGGCACAGCCAGCCGTAAGCCACGGCTTACGCTTCACCTATTGCGGCTGTGAGACCTGACTCCAACGTCATATTTCGACCTTTTTTGGCGATTTTTTCTTTTCATTTTTTCCAGTTGAGACTTCGGTGGAGAAGAGTGGAAATGACGGTATTCTCCAGATACCATAATTACAATGCGATCGCGCTATAGTATTCTGTACTTGGAGTTTTTCGTCTAGATTTATTCTTCTTACATCTGTTCTTGTGATCTCTTCTTCCACCCTTCGGTCAAGTTGAAAATTGCGTGCAGTTCAGGGAATACTACCCCAGGTATCCGCATTTGCCCTAATCCGTCCATCTCTTTTTAACTTCCAACACGCCGATCACCTCAGCTTTGATCATTTGAGCATATCTTCCCAGTGCATCTGTTCAAAGAAAAAGAACAGAAAAACCCAGAAAAAGAGAAAAACATCCACTCACACGCGACCAGTATCCTATTATCTTCTCGAGCATTACATGCATTCGCAGATCTTCAGCTCTTCTCTCGACTCCACCGAGTTCCGACAAGCGCGGCTCATCCGCTCTTTAAAATAAAAATGGCCGTGCCAGAGAAATCACCAAATCCTGCCAGCTGGGACCATGACCGGGACCACAACCGCAGCCCGGAGCTGTCTGATAAGTCCGAGGAAGATCCCAAGATGAAGGACTTTGATGTCGAGGGCCAGGGCCGTCGTAGTTCGCAGCATATCGCTGCCATCGACTCATCGTCAACGACGGAAAGCATCGGTCGCCAGATAGAGATGGAGTCGGAGAACACAATCAAATACCGCACGTGTAGTTGGCAAAAGGTACGCTTTGTTTTGGAAACATAAAGGAAATTGTGGGAGTTGATTGACTGATCTTTTTTTTTTACAGACTGCTGCATTGCTTTTCTCTGAGTACATCTGTCTGGCTATTATGTCCTTCCCTTGGTCATATTCCATTCTGGGTCTGGTTCCCGGTTTGATCTTGACCGCGGTTATTGCTGCCATTGTTCTGTACACTTCGCTGATTACCTGGTATGATATCCTGCTTAATGGCTGCGAGCCTTATGGTAAATTTCGATTTTAATGTTTGTATAGGAGATTCTGTCTGCGACACCCAGAAGTCCGTGACGTTTGCGACATCGGTCAGTATTTGTTCTGGGACTCCAAGATTGCGTGGTGGGCCACAGCAGTCATGTTCCTCCTGAACAACACTTTCATTCAGGGCCTGCACTGTGTGGTTGGTGCCCAGTACTTGAACACCATGTCGAACGGCGCGGTATGCACTGTCGTATTCTCGCTGATTGTCGCCATCATTTCCTGGGTTTTCTCGCTGCCCCGTACATTCAGCACTCTGTCCAAAGTCGCAACCCTCTCAGCATTCTTCACCTTCGTCTCCGTCGTTCTAGCTGCCGTGTTTGCTGCCGTCGAAGACCACCCGACAGGATACTCCGCCGCAAAGGGAGAACCCATTGTGCTCGTCATCCCGGCTGAGGGCACTTCATTCGTCAAGGGCATGAATGCCTTCTTGAACATCAGCTACACTTTCATCGGCCAAATCACCCTTCCCAGCTTCATTGCTGAGATGAAAGAGCCCCGCGACTTCTGGAAGTCCGTGACAGCCGTGACAATTGCCGAGATCATCGTCTTCAGTGTCGTCGGAGCAGTCACCTACGTCTACGTCGGCAACCAGTACATGGTTGCGCCAGCCTTTGGATCCATCGGCGACGACGTGTTCAAGAAGGTCTCCTTCTCGTTCATGATCCCGACTATCATTTTCCTGGGCGTGCTATATGCCTCCGTCTCAGCCCGTTTCATCTTCTTCCGCCTGTTCGAGGGCACCCGTCACAAGGGTAACAACACTGTCGTTGGCTGGGCTGCTTGGGGTGCAATCCTTGCTGCGCTTTGGCTTGCCGCCTTCATCATTGCCGAAGTCATTCCCTTCTTCTCCGACTTGTTGTCTATCATGAGTTCACTCTTTGATTCTTTCTTCGGATTCATCTTCTGGGGTGTCGCGTATATACGCATGCGCGCTGAAGACCACGGACCCCGTTTCTTTATGGTCCGTGGTATTCGGGGCTGGGTCGGATTCATTTTTAATATCTTTCTAATCATCGTTGGTTTCTTCTTCTTGGGACCTGGAACATACGTAAGTGACGAGCCCTTTCCTGGCTTGTTCTTCTTCCTTCTTCGCTTGCTGACAGATATATTCCTTCTAGGCTGCTGTGATGTCTGTAGTGGCCAGCTACGCGGACGGCGCCGTCGGCGGTGTTTTCACCTGTGCCAGCAACGGACTGTAAACACCCCGCAGGGCGGGGAGTTCGCAACTTTTTTCATCGTCACATTTGGATACCTTGTGCACGTTATTTCCGATCTACCGGGGCATGGACTCCGAGGACTTTATGACTATGATGACTGAGAAGGCAAAAGTGCGGATAATCGTGGACTTCACATACCACTTGAGCACCTTTGGGATATTTAAGACTTGTTTTTCAGACGTGGATTTCGTCGCAGGCTTTCAAGCTCTGTATAGCTTGACGGAAAAGAGCCTGGATTGGAATTTGCTCCCCTTATATGTATATTTTTTTTACCACTGCATTTGTTGCAGCAGTTGCCTCTAATCAATAGTAGGCAATCGGCTTGGAGGCTGCAATTTGGCTCTCCGGGTTTGATTTGCCATCGCCGCGGCAATACCCGAACTACCAACCAATGTAGTTATGTACCCGATTTGTGCAGGAACACAATCGCCGCTGAATGAACCCATGCAATGTTTTATATCTCATATGTAAGACAGACTAGCGATATAGTCGGCCTATAAAGACTATATCGCCAACACCGTCCTGCTTTAGAACTTCCAAATCGGGCAACTAGCTACTCCCCGATCGCCTATCACCACGTGATTTTCCCGCGATGCTTCCCCGACGGTGAATTGGTGACTTCTCGTGGTTCATTTCTTTCTCTTTTTCTCTTTCCTTTTGTCAATTCAATTCCTCCAGCATTGATTCACGATGTCAAGCGTCCGTATTCTCACACGAGGTGTTGACCTCGCCGCTGCGAGAGCCGCCTCCCTCAACCTTCCCCGCGCCTCTATCGGCTCCACCGTACTTCGGCGGGAGCTCTCCTCCGCGGCTATAGTGCGACCAACAGTCCTTCGGTCATTGAAATCCAATGCTCCAGTCGCGGCCGTAGCTTCACGCGCTGCGAACCAGGCTGTGCGATATGCCTCCTCTAGCTCCAGCGAGCCCCTTAGCAAGACACAGCTCTATGACTTACACTTGGAGCACGGTGCTAAGATGGTGCCGTTTGCCGGGTTCGACATGCCTCTGCAGTACGCGGATTTGAGCCATGTAGAAAGCCACATGTGGACTCGCGAGAAGGCCAGTCTTTTCGACGTAAGCCACATGTAAGTTAATCACTCCGAGTCAAAATAAACCCGCAATGGCTAACCAAGTTCCCTATCTATAGGGTCCAGCACCAGCTCAGCGGTCCCGGAGCCCTTGACCTACTGAAGAAGGTGACTCCTTCCTCGCTAGACAAGCTAGCCAACAACACCTCCACCCTCTCCTGTCTTCTTGAAGAAGGTACCGGAGGCATGGTCGACGACTGCGTTATCACCCGTCGCGGCGAAGACACCTTCTACTTCGTCACGAACGCCGGCCGCCGCACAGAGGATCTGGCCTTCCTAGCCGCCGAGATCGACGCCTACCGCTCCAAGCACGGTGCCGATAGCATCAAGTGGGAGATCCTCGCAGACCGCGCGCTGGTCGCGCTACAAGGACCTCTCGCCGCCTCCGTCCTCCAACCCCTCATCCACACCGCAAACACCCCCTCCTCCGAAACCGACCTGAGCACCCTTTACTTCGGCAACTGCCGCGAGCTGTACCTCACCCTGCCAGACGGCAGCGCAACCGCCCACCCTCTCCTCATCTCCCGCACCGGCTACACCGGCGAAGACGGCTTCGAGATCTCCATCCCCACTTCCGGCGCCCCATCCCTCCCTCGCCAAGTCACCGAGCTCCTCCTCGCTGACAGCAGCAAGTCCCGTCTCGCCGGTCTGGCGGCCCGTGACTCCCTCCGTCTTGAGGCAGGCATGTGTCTCTACGGCCATGACATCTCCACCGCGCAGACCCCGCCCGCCGCGGCCCTTGGCTGGGTTGTCGGTCGTGATCGTCGCGATCCTGCCACTGCTACCTTCAACGGTGCTTCCATTATCCTTTCCCAACTCGCCAGCCCTAAGACTATCTCACAGCGCCGCGTCGGACTTTCTGTTGAGAAGGGTCCCCCAGCTCGTGAGGGCGCTGTCGTCGTCGATATCTCTGACCCAGCCAACCCCGTTGAGGTGGGTATTGTCACTTCCGGCCTGCCTAGCCCATCACTTGGTGGTGCCAATATTGCTATGGCATATGTTAAGCAAGGGCTTCACACAAAGGGTACCGAGCTGGCTGTTAAGGTCCGCAACAAGGTCCGCAAGGCTACTGTTGTTGGTATGCCTTGGATTGCGAGCAAGTTCCACCGTCCTCCTCAGTAGAGGATAGAGTCTCGGCTCTTCTAATTTAGACTGTTGGTTTGTGCTTTTCAGTTTTTTGTTCCTTTTAAAAATGGAGGGACTCGTGTGAATGCCTAGCGTTTCGATGATTTTATTACTTGACCTGTGTATATATTCCGATTTTACGACTGATATTCATCATATCAAAAGACTCTTTCCTTTCTCGTTTTCACTCTTTGCGAGCTCTGTTCACACATATATTTACGTAAGAAAACGTAGGCATAGGTAGCTAAAACTGCATACTCGAGCCCTGCCCAAAAATTCAGTTAGGAACAAGGATTATATGTCGAAAGCAAAACAATAAATATTACTATAAGAATAAAGTACCTATGGAGTACGAAGTATAAAAAAGCAGCTAGCAACTCTTCCACCTAGGCCCACAGTCCCATCACCACCACGAACCCCATATACCCACAGCCCCATCACCAAAACGAACCCTAGACTCCGGCTCCAAAGAAGGCGGCGTATCCTCCAGTCTAGTGCCCCAGCCACCCTCCTCCTTCCCAAGAACAAGAACCAACTCCCTCCCCTCAGTGAAGAAGTCATGTCCAATCCAATTCCTCGTATAAGGCTTCCCATCCAGCGTAGCAGACTGAATAAACCCATGCCCACCAGCAGCATCGCCAGTAGCATTAGGCGTGTTAAACTCAGCCCAGTTAACCGTTCTCAGCGTTGCCGTTTTCCCCGTCAGTGGGGAAACAATGCTAATAGACTCGAAGAACGGTACTGTTATTAGGTACACGTCCTGGCCTGGGTTCGGGAATAAGCCCATCATCGCCATGGCGACGAATGAGCCCATTGCGCCGGAATCGTCGTTACCCGGTAGGCCGGCTGGAGTGGGAGAGAAATAGTCTGGGATATAGGTACGCACGCGGGAAGTGGATTTTGCCGGACGCCCGGCGTAGTGGTATTGGAAGACTGTTAGGAAGGCGGGCTCGTTGCCGATGTAGGTTATGTTTTGGTCGTGGAGGTAGTCGAGGCGGGTGACGAAGTTGGCGGGTCCGCCGAGGAGGGTTATTAGGGTTTGCATATCGTGGGGGACGAAGCTGGGGGATGGTATTAAAGGGGGCTGTGAAGAGATATGGACGTGCGGGAAACTTACAATTGATACTCCCAGATGCTGGACTCGAAGGTTTCGCCGGCGGTGTTTTGCAGCGAGCAGGCGCTTCCACTGTGGTCTATGTTGGAGCATGCGAGGGGATCCTGGACGCCCCATGTCCCATTCAGATGCTTTGGCTGGAAGAAACCGGTAAAGCCAGTGTTCTTTCCTTTCCAGAGAGAGACTTGGTCCTTCTTGAATAGGTTTTGCCAGTATCGCGATCTTTTCTCGTACCGGTTTGCATCGACTGTCTTGTTCATGGCGCGAGCCATTTGGGATATCGCGAAGTCATTGTATGAGTACTCTAGTGTGCGCGAGATGCTGCGCGTCATTGTGCCAAATCCCTCGTAGTCGAAGTCTTCTACGGGTATATAATGCAGATCCTTCCAGCTGCGTAGACCGCCACGGCCTTCGCTGGACCAGTCGTATGGCTCTTCCTCGGCGTCCTTTTTCACAGCTGCATACCCGGCATCCCAATCAATGCAGCCTCTGAGACCTTTCAGGTAGACATCTGCCAGGACGTTGTCGGCGTTAGAACCGCCTTGTGTGTATCCTTTGCACAGTGACATGCGGCAGTCTGGTAGCCAGCCAAGATGGCGCTGGGTATCGATGAGTGAGCGCACCATCTGCATTACTAAGAAAGGATCGAAGATAGTGAGAAATGGAATCTGGGAGCGGAAAGAATCCCAAAGACAATAGAACGAATCAAAATAGGGCTCACTGCTCTGCCAGAGCGGGTTCTCGCCCGTGTAGTTCTGAGGGTTGATCATGGTTCTGTAGATTCCGCTGTAGAAATTGGACAGAACGGATGCATCGATGTTTGTTCGTGAGACACGGATCGGGCGCATCTTTTCGGTCCATTTGTCAACTGCTATCTGGCGAGTTGCGTTGAAGTCGAATGTTGGAATCTCAGATTCGGCATGAGCGCAGGCTTGCTCTATGCTCATGAAGCTGATACCAACTCGACCGAGGACCGTATTGTCCGGAGCAGACTGGAAACGGACAAATCCACCACCCTACAAAATTATGGTCAGCTCTCTTTGTATACAAAAAGAAAAAAAAAGCTCTTCGACTCACTGGAAGCGGGTACCCATTGATACTACGCGAGATCTTCAGATCGTGGACCCCAGCACTCGCACGAGAGTTGACGAAGATACCGCTATCTCGCTGGGCTGCAGAACTTTTGAAGTCGGCACAGAAATGCAAGACATACGATCCCGATCCAAAGCTAGGAGAAAACCGCGCATCACCGGTCATACGGCCTGTTTTTTTATCCACCGAGATGGTCGCGTTATCCTGACGCGAGTTCGACAGATCGGTAAGATCCAGCAAGATCAGCGGGCTGGTGCTTTTATCATTTGGGAATTGGAAACGAAATAGGGACGTATGGTGCGCAGTTGTCATATCAACCCGGACCCCCGATGCTAGCTCTATAGCAAAATACCCCGGGTGCGCTTGGACCGAGTCGGGTTTATACTTCGTCTTTCGTTGGTTTTTTGGATAGACGCAGCCATTCACATCGTCACCGGCACATTTTGCATAGGGAAAGAGAGGAAAATTGCCTAATGAAGGACTGCCTCCAGTGCCGGAGTCGTGCATGCTAGAGAATCCGGTGACGCTGCCGCCCTCGAAGGCGAAACCTCCCTGGTTGCTTTCTGAATCTGTATCGGCGACGGCTTTTGCCATGCCATATGGCAGCGAGGCACCTGGAAACACATTTCCTGGGGGAAATTGTTGATATGAAGTTGGTTTAATTTGGTTGTTCGTACTTACCTCCATTGGCACTACCAATCAAGGGATTGACGTATTCTAGGACATCGTAATCTTCCACTGCAGGGGTATCTGCAGCATTAACTAGGATACGAGTTAAGAATAATGATAATAATAAATATGGCGGCATGGTCGAGGTTGAATAAAGATGAGTAAGTGGGGAAGATGGGGATGTTCTGTTATTTAGATCCCTTCACCTCGTGCTTGACTGGTATGCGTGCCCCTGTTGATCCCTGTACGTCCCTGTTGCATTCCGCATTCTGTATATTCCCGAGGATATGGGGATGTATCTCAGGTTGTAGTGCAAGGGTGTATTGGTTGGTGAAACTCGTGTAGCCGGACTGATGGGATTGAGAAACAGTCCAAGACAAGATGTAGGCAATAAGGTAACTGTTGTTTTTTAATCTTCACATCTTCACATCTACACAAAGAAACCATGTAACATGCCACATATTAGTCAATTACATAAAAGTATGTAGCATATAACCACCAAATACCCTTTGCTGTAGTATTTCCAGATTCCCAACTATATATTTATATTTGATATATTGAAATAAGGTACTCGCCCATTCGCCCCAATTGGGCAATCCCTTGAGGCTCGATGGAAAATTAGGGATGCATGCAAGCTTGATATTGCGGTCCGTAAATTTCAGCTAAAGCATCGTGTCAACTTGCTCCCTACCAAGCTTTCTCGAGATCTTTGATGGTGAAGTTACCAGAAAGTCGCCAAATATCCTGAGACAATTATTAGCTTCATTGGGAGACTTCTCTTCAGGAAATGGGGAATGAGACCAAACATCTCTACTCATATATTAAACCGAGATGACATGGTACTGGGGTTAGTCTGAGCTCAAGTAAACAGAAGGTCAAGATGTACGTTGAGAAGGGAAGATGGGAAAAAGCAGAAGAAGAAAATAAACGCCGTATCTCTTATGGCTTGCTATGGCCTTGATAGCTAATGATGACTGACAGAAATATCACTTCTAGGTCACCTGTTGCCTTTCCACATATTTTCACCTCTTCCTCTCTTTATTCTCTCTTCGCATCTCTCTTTTTGACATATCTTCCATTTTGACTATGGCGTCTTCTGGAAATGGACCTCTGGCCCTCATAGATGTCAAACAACTTACACTCTCGGATGTTGAGAGTGGCTTCGACCTGACGCGAGCCAATGATATCAACTGGGGGCAGTTTCGGGCCCCGTTGAAAATCGTAGATGACCACCGTAAGCTCACCTTGGAGGTTTCATGTCGGGCAAAGATCTCTAATCCTGTCTAGAATCAACTGCCAACGGCCTGGACGATCGGCTATTACTTAGTCTAGGCATCCTTCTTATTGCTGTCCACACCACCTCGCCTGATCCGAATTCTCCTAGCTCGCCTCCGATACCTATCACATCCCAATCTCGGTTTACATTCTGGCCATTTGTCTTCCAAGGAGTGAAGTGCTCTCTACGTGGCTTTCCCGGCTATTCGCTTTGGTATGGCCCAGATCCAAGAGTGGACATGGCCGTTAATTTGATCATTGTTGAAACAATGCAAGGCCTATCTGCCGCCGGTATACCCGAATGTCTTGCATACATGGGCATGGTTCACAAACAACACCAATATGAGGATAAGACGAGTCGTCCCGTTGGCCTATCTTCCGATCACGATCAGTTTCATTTCTTGATGATCTCAGGCGAAGGAAACGTGAGAAAACCCCTGGTGCTTGCTTATATCAGAAGGCAAAGGGAGGTACTAACCTTTTTATTAGTGGTCCCAGATGGACTACAACTATGCTAGCCATACCCAGGAGATTGTTGATACACTTGCATTCTTTCATAAGGAAGCTTCTATCCTATCTGCCTCTTGTGGTAGTGGTATATCCGATACCCATGCTCTGCCTGCACATATCAGAAGCACGTCTGAGAAGCCATGGTCTATTTTCCAAGTGACTGGTGACATCGATAATATGGACGAGAAGGAGAGTGACTGAGGATTGATCTTATGTTCTCGCGTCTGCAGGGCAGCTATGAATTCCTTTTAGTAGGCTAGTGCCCCATAGCTGAAATAATACCATGTTCATGAAAGTTTTCTGTAGTGCAAGTAGCTCTGTGACTATTCGGTTTCTTAGTACTCTATTTGATTTTTCCAACGAACTCTGTTCCTGCTTCCTCAGAAGCCATGATGTCGCTGGCTGATATATAGTAGCTCCCCGTCTCTATAAGCTCTCTTGCCCCCGCCCTTTTCTCCAGCTAGTCATAAATAAAGCTCTTTTGCCACATTGTATGATTTTATATTTTTGATGTTTAGGGCTCAATAGGAAGGAAATCTCGGAATTCGGGGAATATCTATGTTACACTAGTTTGCCAAGGGGCACAGACGATTTATGTATTTATACGGAGTACATGTCTTAGTATAGAATCCACTCACTGTACTATGTTGTCTTGTTAATATGGCTACCCACTGAGTATTCATACCCTATGTGGTTTGCGGTTTCCAAGTAGCAAATTAGAAAAATATCAAAAACCCCTTTGCGTAACCTAATAATACATATATAACCAATATATAACATTGAAAAGTGACGGACATTCTCGGTGAACGTTAGAAGTGAAGATGCCGAGGTTAAAATCCCCCAACTCCACCGTTGTCCTCTCAACCACTCTTTTTCTCACCAACTTCGCCTCCTAGACATCTAATTTGGATTATTTTTTTTGATAATTCTTTTCGCTCTTTATAATTTATGATGTTCCGTCGATCTTTTACTTCTCTTCCTTCTGTTCGCAAAATCCCCTCCACACTATCTCTTTCGCGACTCCTTACCCGCAACTCTTTCTCCGCTGCCCCGAAACGACCCTACAACCGGACATACTCCACCTGTAAGCTATATATAAACCAGTTACAATGCGCAATTTCAACAAAACAACTAACCCGGTAATCGCAGCATCTGCCTCTACACAGCCATCACCACCCCAAGTCCCGCGCTCACGTCTCCGTCGCTTCATCGGCTTCACCTCAATCGCCGTTTTCGCATTCACAGTTGGATTAACCTACCAAACCCAAATTACCCTTTCGCGCATCATGGCCACCCCAACCGGCGAAGAGACCTTGACGGCATTCGTTGCCTCAGACACTGCGACCGCGAATATCGATAATACACTCCGCACCCATCCCGTCGCAGAGGCTCTTCGCGCAAACCCCGAATTCTCCGAATCCCGGCCACACCTTACAATTCCCGAACCCATGCGCGAACGCAACCTCACAGCCGGAACGCTAGCTGGACCTGGGAAGATCGTTGTGCCGCCATATGTATTCAGTCAGCGCGACGGCAAGACCATGGTTTCGCTCATGTATCTTGGCGGGGATGTCTGTGGTCACCAAGGAATAATCCACGGTGGTCTACTGGCTACGTTGTTGGACGAGGGTCTGGCGCGTTGTTGCTTCCCGGCTTTGCCGAATAAGGTGGGTGTTACGGCCAATTTGAATATTGATTACCGTGCTCCTGCTATGGCGAATCAATATGTTGCCCTCCGCGCGGAGACTGTTAAGGTTGAGGGTCGTAAGGCGTGGGTGGAAGGTCGCATTGAGACTCTCCCGAGTGACGGTACAGAGCCGGTGGTTCTAGTTGAGGCTAAGGCTTTGTTCATTGAGCCTCGGCAAGCTGCTGTAAGTTCAAACTGTTGGGATTTTGACTTTTTTCTTTCTTAGTGGCTAATTTTCTTCCAGGCGCTTTCGAGTCTCTACAAAGTGGCGTGATTGAAGAAATTTCCGAAATTTCTGCATTTGGTTCCTGTTCCTGGTTCCTGGAGTCATGGCGAATAGATGTTTTTTTTCTTTGTAAATGAGGTTTAGAAGTGATTTTGTACATATTAGTCCATTGATATAAAGATATAGGTCCTTATAGACACTATAAATATATTATAAAATGTTATAAAATACCAAGTATAAAAAGAAAAGAAATGCCAAGCGATGGCGACACTTCCCTCCCCCGCGATGATCACATCTTCTGTGACGCGGCCACTGCCCCTCCTTATTTCTATAATTTCTCTGCTCAGAATTTCAACTCTCATTCTCTTCATTAATCTACATACCTCCAAAATGTCTACGTAAGTCCAGATAACCCTCAATGCCAATCTATATCCCTCTAACCAAACAAATAGCAACATCACCTTCCACGCCAGCGCCTTGACCCGCAGTGAGCGTACCGAGCTGCGCAACCAGCAAGGTCTCACAATCTGGCTTACCGGTCTCTCCGCCTCCGGCAAGTCCACACTCGCCGTCGAGCTTGAGCACCAGCTCGTTCGCGACCGTGGCATTCACGCCTACCGTCTGGACGGCGATAACATCCGTTTCGGACTGAACAAGGACCTTGGATTCAGCGAGGCCGACCGTAACGAGAACATCCGCCGCATTGCCGAGGTCGCTAAGCTGTTCGCTGACTCTAATTCTGTCGCTATCACTTCCTTCATCTCTCCCTACCGGAAAGATCGTGACACTGCCCGCCAACTGCATGAGGTTGCCACTCCCGGCGAGACCACTGGTCTGCCTTTCGTCGAGGTCTATGTTGATGTCCCCGTTGAGATCGCTGAGCAGCGTGACCCTAAAGGCCTTTACAAGAAGGCTCGTGAGGGCATTATCAAGGAGTTCACTGGTATCTCTGCTCCTTATGAGGCCCCGATCAACCCCGAGGTTCACGTTAAGAACTATGAGCTCCCCGTCCAGGATGCCGTTAAGCAGATTATTGATTACCTTGACTCCAAGGGTTACTTGCCCGCCAAGAAGGAGTAAGGTGGTTTCTTTTTGACTTGCGATTGGGATTGGGATTTGATTTGAGATTTGGCGGATGTGTCTATGATCGGATTTACATAAAAAGAGTACTGTACAGCGGATTAGATATGGTGTTTTTGGGTTTCCAAGGTTGATTCCCCTCCCCGCTTACTGTACATACTGCGTGGACAATATAGATCGCTTTTGCACATTGCATATTATGAGGCCGAGGATGGGTAATGGGGTTTAATCCCCTTTCGCTGTTTGAATGTGTGGTCATTGAAAATCAGAAAAACCAAAAAATTTCAATGCTTTGTGCTAGATGTACCGAGGTGGTATATGTACGCAATGTCTTCTCGAAGCTTCGTATCTCCTGCGATGCCTCGAATTGGCAACCTTAGTTGAACTCGAATTCATAAAACACATACGGGGTGTAGTCTGCGCTGCCCTCACCACCTGGGTGCATCTCGCCAGGGTCATCCCGCTGCATACGGCCCTTCTTGTCCCGCCCAAAGGCATTGCCCGCCAGATACGAGTATTTATTCTCGAGGTTTTGCTTTGCACGGTCTGCTTGCTTGCTAGTTTGCGTCTGTAGGGAGTAAAAAAGAACGTCAGCCCGTGCCACACTGTAAAAGCGACCAAAAAAGCAGAGGAAAGAGAACATACCCTGACCAAAGCGCAGACGAAATCCAACGGCAATCCATACCGCAGCACCGTCTCGACAAACACCCTCAGAACCAAAATATGAATCCAGACCATAACGGCCTCACTCCAAGCCGTGCGACCGAGTTGCAGCGTCTCACCCCATACCTTACGCTCATCACCACCAACGCGCTCAACCTCCTTGCGCTCCTCCTCCTTCCCGCCCTCAACATACTTAAAGTCGCGTGGGATCCACTTCTGCTCACGGCACTTATGCACGAACTCGACACTGTGCTTCTTGAAACATGTCACAGCGTACAGCGTGAACTCGCTGTCGGACGCGACCAGCTGCGCGGACCGCGGGACCACCATTGGCGCGACGGTCTCGTAGGTCTTCAAGAAGTCTTTTACTAGCTGGGCGGGCACGGCGACGAGGTGGGTTTCGATGTATTCGGAGTCCTGGACGATGGATTTCGGGTCGATAACTGAGGCGAGGGACTTGGTTGAGAGGTTACCTCTGTGTGGAGCGGGTTAGTTCTGGTTCCCGTACGTTATATGTACACATCGGAGTCTCCTTCATAGTTAACATACGTTTGTTTCCGCTGCAGTGTGGACAACGTGTTCTTGACCTGGTTATATTGGGAGTACTTGAATCGAATGTCGTTGTCGATGCTGGACGCTTCCTGTAGTAGATAAACAGCATTAGTATGTAAATCCAAGCTAGGAAGACCCCTCGTTTCTATGTGCGACACAACAAACCTTCTGTAGAAGATCAATCAGCTCCGCCAAGGGCTTATCGGCCCTGTACTTGACTTTGTTCCATTGGAAAGTACGCAGGTACTGATCGACTGGCTCTGTAGGCAGTCAGAACCCAGAACCCAGAGATATCTTTTCCAAAACTGCGTTTTCCCTCCGCAGCCAGATCAATACCACGCTGGACACATACTATGGTTGACAACCTTCATCTGCTCAATCTGCGCCTCGTCCTCAAGGATGTTCTTCAACGCATCGCCGACCTTGGCAACGACACTCTGGCATGAAGCTTCGAGCTTGGACAGCTCTTCCGCCTGCTGGACAAGGGCATCTAGCGTGCCGATCTTGAACTCCGGAATTGGGAAGGAGGTAGCGGAGCCATTGTCCGGGGAGACGGTGGTCGAGACTGCTTCGAGGGCGTCTTCGCGGTGGTGCGAGGGGACGATAGAGGTTGGGAGGGAGAGAAGGAGGTATTTGTTTGGTTTGGACATGGCTGCTTATGTCGGAGAATTCAAGGGCCTTCAACGAGGCTTGGGAGCGTTTCGGGGTTGAGGGGGTAGCTCGGGTGGCCTCGATGTCGTAGGCGGTGGGTGCTTGGACCAGGTCCACTTTGCACATCTACAAAGTACACATTTTAACAGAGTGACTTAGGCATCCGTCCTTGACATAAAACTGGAGTAATCTAATCGCGTTGGGTGGAAATAACATAAATTACATTATCTTCTCAATGTTTTCTTCCTTTCAGAGGTGAAAATCATTCGCCACAATGTAGAATCCCCGTGAAAAGTACAATACTGACTTTTCTATCTATCACCTGTGATAATGTTCAATATCAAATCAAATACTCATGATATCATACTAGCAGCTTAATTAACGTATATGAATACCAGTGCAGCTACTACCGCATTTCATATGAAGTGCTGTATAGAGATGCATAACGCTAGAGGAGGACTCAATGCTCGCTGAGAGTCGGGAAAAAAAAAAAAAAAAACAAAAAACACCGATATGCTTCAAAAGAAAAGGAAGTGAACCTCCCTTAAGGAATTTTGATCACCGGAACAGCCAGTGAGGCTAGATTCAATAACAGCCAAGGCTGGGGAAATCAACTAGCTTCGAATCTGCAGAATATGTAGGGAAAACTTGGGCATGAAGAAAGTAAAAGGAAAGACAGGGTATCTGTATCAAGCGTGCAGCCCTGATTGTGAACCGAGGAGAAAAGGAGGAGTGGAGGGAAGAGTGGAGGGAAAGGGAGAGGAAGTAGTGGTATCTGTACAAAAATAAAGAGGGGACAGTTTCGAAAAAAAGAGCACGTAGAATTAATCATAGAACAGGTAGGCCATGGTTTGACATCACGCCCCAAGAACTGAGTCAATTGATGCATGATGGCACGACTGTGAGAAATTGGAGTGAAAGTGAGGAGGATCTGAGAGGAAAATTACTTCGACCCTAGCCCTGCATACCCATGAAAACTTCCTGGCAGTTCTCCACCAGGAACTTGAGGACATCATTCTTCTTCTGAACATCAGTCATCTCACGGGCAAGACTTTCAGGTCGCATGATTGTCGGCGCAAAGACCACAGCAACATTCTGACTGGTCATCAAATTCTCCTCATGGCGCTCGACAACGCGTTTGAGATGGAAGATGAGGAACTCCAGGACGTCGCGGTGCACGCGGGGCAGTTCGAGTAGACTCTTCTGCATGAGTTCAATTCGCGCGGACATAGGGCTGACCTCGGCAGAATCTATCACAAGTTCGTAAACTTCGTAAGTGATGAGGGGGTTAGGGAGCTTTCGGAAATATTGCTTTAAAGTAGATGTGACAGCATGAATGTCGAGGTCAGGGTCGGAGATGTCGTAATCAAATGGTGAGCTTTCAAAGCCTTCGCGAATGGTTTGGATGACTGATGCAGCACCGGACTTGCGATAAATGCCTTCCATATCCATGCCTAATTTTATTTGTTAGTTTAACCAACGATCGAATAATCACCGACAAAACATACCTCGCAGTTCAACTTCCTGGATGCACCGCGTGACGATGGCTGGAATGATACTCTTCTCGTGTTCCATGCGAGCTTCAAGTTCAGTGCCGAAAAGAGCTGAAAGTAATTAGTTTATACTGATATCATCCTGAATGTTAGTATCGGGCACATACCATCAGCAGCAACTTCAGCCAACACAGGCACACTGTCAGCTTGCGACATCTTTCCTCCCTGCTTGCCTCTCTGGTTCCCAAAGAACCCAAAGCCTTGGCGACTCGGATCTTGAGTTTGGGAACGCGGTATAACACCGCCGACCTCTTGTCCTTGTCCCCCTTCGCTAGACATGAAGGCTCCCTTGAGACCCTTGACACCTTTGGCGACATTCTGTCCCCCCTTTTTCCAGTTAAACTTGCGAGGCTGCCCCTTGCGAATGCTGACAACCTGGGGGCCTGGCACAACAGTAGCCGTAGCAGACTCGGAGTCTTCCGAAATGTGAGCAGTCGACATAGATCCCTGATATTCGTTTGAAAAGGAAGGTTTCATCACTTCAATGGAGTTTGTGGACTGCTGTTTGTTGTGTGAGATGCCGAGACCGTTGGGTCGTGGTTGACCATCCGTAGCTTTGTAAAGTTCTTGGATTTGGTGAACCAACTGATTGTTCAACTCAGCTAACTGTGCATTCTTCATTGATAATTGCTCGAATTCCTGGAAACTCTTCTCCTTTCGAGTGTTCATGGCTTCCAGTTCATCTGACAGCTCATTGCGCTTCTGCATAAGCTCTTCAATTTGCGGAGCATAAGAGTCTTTCAGTTTTTGAATGGATTCTGCCAGCTCGCGCAGCACATGGTTCGAGAGTTTTCCAAGGTCCAATGGCCCACTGGAACCACCGCGTTTTTCAGCTTCCATATGATCAGTGAGAACAGTAAGCTCACGTAGAACAATCTCGCGCTGAGCGTCAAGGACGATCATAGTAGATCGCTTCTCAGAAAGCTCAGTGTTAACTTGCTTTACGTCTGCTGCGGTGCGAGCGGCTGATTCCAGTTCTGCAACTCGTTGGCGTTCTTTGCGCAATTCGTTACGAAGCCAAGAGATCTCTTCACTCTGTGATCCGGCGATGGGACTGCCAACATCCGTTCCGGCTATGCTTCGAGTGCTAGGTGATCGAGGGTTCTTCAGATCTTTGCTCATCCGCACACTCTTCTCGCTGAAGCTTCGGCCATGGCGGACAGAGTTTGAGACGCGCCGTAGGAATGACTCGTTATTTTGCCCAACAGTGTCATCGCCACCGATGATGCGTGATAGTTCTTCATCCATAGAGAAGTCGCCTCCGCTGTTGTACCGTAGCAAGGTTGATGCACCGGCGCCATCGTATTGGTGCGATTCAAGTTGTGCTGTGCTCAAGGGAGTATGTTGAATGGGCTGTTCGAAAGTGTCACTACGGAGCATGGGGGAGTCCCCAAATTGCGATGTTACAGGTGATGATCCGATCTCTTTCCTTGGAATTTGGTGAAGCCTGCCTTCAAGTGAATCGCCGCGCTTTGGTAAATGCGGTAAGCCGGAGGTTTGGGAGCGCGTTGAGTCCATTGAGCCGTGGTCGTGGAGACGACGAAGCTCATTGGAAGGACGAGCTGGAGCTGAAGTAACGCT